TCCCAGCTACCCCAGCCCGGGTGTTGATGCGGCAATGGAACACGGAAAGTGCGGGATTACGGCATTTCGGGCTGAAGCATATTTAAGAGCTAAAAATGTTTAAACACTTCAAAGAATAAGACTGGCAAAGCTGCCCTCCGTCACTGACTTTGTTAACTATATGACTTGATGTCTTTGTCTCTCGATAAGAAAGCATTTGCACCCGATATCACAAACAACAAAGATTGGAATCCCGTTGAAGCATCAGTATTTTATTTCTTATTTCGTTTTCCTTTGCAACTGCACTAGCTGTTCCACAATTGCAAACATCATTAAATCTTATCTCGCACTGACTACGCTACAAAATCATTCTTTTCTCAATTTGGCCATGCTATAATAAAATAGTTTTCATTTTGTCGTTCGTCAGTGTAATTACACAGATATAGTCCTTTAGGTAATAACAAAGTCAAAGTGTTTGTAGTACATCAGTAACCAAACACATTCAGTATTCATAAGCGTTGTAACAGTCGCTGCAGGCATTGTCAGATACAACTTGTGTTCAATATGCCATGAGATTATCACTTGCGTTATCGCCTACACCGACATCAGCTTCACTGTGGTTTGAGGATCAAGTGAAGCTAAAGGCTACATTATGTTAACTATATGTTGGTATTATAACGAAGATTGCATGTTGGAGTGGGTTTGAGTTTGTAGGCATAGAACGAGCCACAGTTGCGTACCGTTATATAGGTATGAAAAGAGCAAACACACGAGGATGATGATTTCTGGCCGAAACACACTTTTCTTGTGACCCTCCCCACAGAAAGTGAAGGATGTCCACCCACTAACCAGCTAGGGTAATCTATGTCAGTACACCGTTCGTTCATGCGTCTTCCGTTTATAAACCTGTACCAACCCTCAGCGAGGTCATAGTCGCATTTGCCGCCATCCTTTTTAGAGCCCACTCGTCGTGAATAGTCTTCTAACACCATGTGACGGACGCATTCCGGTTTATCGGTACCTGAAAAAGTCAGTTTAATATAAGGTGAAATCGGGTCATACATTCAAACAAGAAAACTGTTTAAAATTGAGTTGTCGAACCCC